GTTCTTTGATGGGGTCAAAATATAATTTGGACGTACAAGATCGGTATCCTAGATACCAATATCGTAGATACGGTGGGATATGAAACCCATCCTCACGGGTTACGACTTACAAGCGAAGGATGCAAGGCTAGTGTTTCCTTGAGTAATTAACCATTGGTAGTTAATTAGAATGTTAGAAGAAACTAAATAGTTATTGGAGTCTCATTATTTACTACTTCACAATACTATGTATCATTGTATTCAACTTCAACAAAGAATTATATAACCAATGAGTTAAAGCAAATAAAAATGAATTGTGATAGATTTTTACTTCATTTTAGCGGTGTTTCCTTCAATTCTTGCAAAGCGGGAAGCCTTTTATCATTGCTTTCCACTAAGATCCATAAACTCTAATAATTACAAATGTAAAAATTAATATTTAACAAATAATATTAACTATTAGAGAGAGAGATAACAGAGGGCCTTTGACAAGGACTAGTAAATACTTTTAACCACTTGAAATACAAATTTCGTTTGTCACATTTTTAGTTTACAGATTGATGTTAAATAACAAGATATTTGATTCAACAATTTTCATGTGAGTAGGAAAACTAATAAATCTGCATTTCCAGTAAATCTTTTGAGTATACGTAACCTAGTTATCTTCAAAGATATATACATATAACCAACTCACTACATTTTTCGTCAGCAACCAACCAAGAAATTATCGATGAAGAAATAGCCAAAAACTCCCTCTTTCCACTAGACTACTTCCCTATAAATTGAAGTTTCTTCCAAAATAATCTTGAGGTCTAATTTATTTTTTTGTCAATATTGTTCTTTTGATTATATGGTTGTTTTCTCAGTAAGAAGGGCATTAAATTGATTATTATTAAAGATGCAACATAAACTACACCACACTATTTTTCAAAATAAAAAACGAAGTTAAGACTTGAAATTTGACAAAAAGAAAAAACATAGAAGTTTGAACAATAAAAATTACCAAGAGGGTTAGTGAGCAATCTAATATGCATGCAAGGTAACGCAGCAGCAAGAAGCAACTTTGTTAAATGTGTTTTGGTTAGTAGCTAAACATGCGATTAAAGTGAAATCGGCAAGGTCAAGATGTCATATAATAGTAGAGTTTTTATCGCAAATGATCTCAAAATAATATTATAGATTATTGACAACAATGGAAAACGAAAAACAAATTGTTCACAAGTTGTTTGTTATAACCTTTCCGGTGATAGCTAGCTAGTAGGTGCCTATCTACGATGCTTTCCGATATTGCAGCAAATCCAGCTAACATATGTAAAATCTGATACAATTTTTATAAGTGTTCGGATATTGATCAGTGCAAGTAATCCGGGTTTGGCGTGTAAAACGTGGGTTGATGCCGATATTTGATGCCTTAGTTTGTACGTAAACCAGCCAGAGTTGGCAAATCTTGGATTTTTGCAGCATCTTTAGAAATTGTTCGGGCGAGAAGCTAATGCAAATCTGTTAGTGCGCATGAAATGTGCATAGGATCCTACGTGAGCTTGGAAATTGTGGTTAAGGTATCGAATCATGTTTAGGTTAGCTGAAGCTTGTAATTTGTAAGGTGCAGTTAAAAAATGGAGTAGAAAAAATACACCAAGGTAGGTAGCGGTGAAGAGATTTCGAGTATAAATTAGTCCTTGCTAGTTATGATTGTGATCATCGAAAAAAATGGCTAAGCATGGAGCTCTCTTGTGTTCTTATGCTTTCCCTATTCTTATACTCACTATCAGCTTCTTCTGCAAAGCCATTGGTCAAGAAGATAGAAAGGTTCACATTGTGTACATGGGGTCACTTCCGACTGTTGAATTGTACTCATCGTTGTCTCACCACCTCGGTATACTAGAAAGAGTTGTCGAGGGAAGTTCTGCTGCAAATGTCTTGGTCAGAAGTTACGGAAGGAGTTTCAATGGATTTGCTGCCAAGCTCACTGAGCGTGAAAGAGAAAAGCTTGCTAACATGAAGGAAGTGGTCTCTGTGTTTCCAAGCAGAACTTACCAACTTCAAACAACAAGGTCTTGGGACTTTATGGGTTTACCAGAGAACGTCGCTCTAAATACCACCGGTGGCGGTGAGAGTGATATTGTTGTCGGTGTGATTGACACCGGAATTTGGCCTGAATCCAATAGCTTTAAAGATGATGGTTTTGGTCCTCCTCCCAAGAGTTGGAAAGGTGCTTGTGAAGGTGGCCAAAATTTCAATTGCAACAACAAGATCATCGGAGCTCGATATTACACATTAGAGGAGTCTGCAAGGGATGTAATAGGTCATGGAAGCCACACTGCCTCAACGGCAGCAGGTAGTGCCGTGAAGAATGTGAGCTTTTATGGACTAGGCAATGGTACTGCAAGAGGAGGAGCTCCTGGTGCGAGAATCGCCGCGTATAAAGTCTGCACTGATCAAGGATGCACTTCGGAGAATATCTTGGCTGCTTTCGATGATTGTACTGCTGATGAAGTCAGCATCATTTCAGTTTCAATTGGATCTGTTTCCGCGCCTCCTATGGAATATGATCCTATAGCCATTGGCGCTTTTCATGCAATGAAGAAGGGGATAATGACCATACAATCTGCTGGCAACAGTGGCCCTGGAGAGGGTACTGTATCAAGTACACCACCATGGATATTTACGGTTGCAGCATGTAGCATCGATCGTAAATTCATTGCCAAGGTTTTTCTTGGAAATGGACGTACATTGGATGGGCTAGCCGTGAATGCTTTTGAATCAAATGAAACAAGTGCACCTTTGATATATGGAAGAGAGGCTTCGAGTCAATGCTCAGAATACCCTGCACAGGATTGTGCAGATGGCTGCCTAGACCCTGACAGAGTCAAGGGAAAATATGTGATGTGTGATGACTATAGAGGACTAATTGAGGCTGATCGAGCTGGTGCAAGAGGTGCGGTTTTAAAGAATGCAAGAGATGATGTTCCTTTTGTTCTCCCACGATCTATGAGCGGTGTAAACAACAATGATTATAATCTGGCCAAATCCTACCAGAACTCCACCACAAATCCTCGAGCAAATATAGTAAAAAGTGAAGCCATAAAAGATCCTACTGCACCGAGGGTCGCTTCCTTCTCTTCACGCGGTCCTAATCCAATTTTACCAGAAATTCTGAAGCCGGATATTTGTGCCCCAGGAATAGCTATTTTGGCCGCATATTCTCCAAATGCTTCTGCCTCGGCCAGCCCTTATGACGAGAGGCGCGTAAAGTACAATGTACAATCTGGAACCTCCATGTCTTGCCCCCATGCTGCTGGTGCTGCTGCATATGTTAAAGAATTCCACCCGGATTGGTCTCCAGCAGCCATTAAGTCAGCTCTTATGACTACAGCTTGGCCCATGAATGATACAAGCACTTCCCCAGGCGAATTTGGTTATGGAACTGGACATCTCAATCCTGTAGGTGCTAAGCAGCCGGGACTTGTGTACGATGCTTCTAAAGAAGATTACATTAAGTTGCTTTGCATGTTTTATAAGGATGAGACTCGAGTTAGACTCATCTCGGGAGATAACAGCACGTGTCCTACTGGCTCCGACAAAGGAACACCAAAGGATCACAATTACCCTTCAATGCTTGCTAATGTAACATCAAGGGCATCATTTAAGGTTGAATTTCCTAGAAGAGTTACGAATGTTGGCCATGCAAACTCCACATACAAGGCAAGTATCTCCAGGAATTCTGAAAATGCCGACATCAAAGTGGTGCCTGAAGTCCTTTACTTCAAATCCTTGAATGAGGTGAAAAGTTTCGTTGTGATCGTTGCTGGACCAGGCCTGTCCGTGGCTGGAATTGTGACTGCGTCACTGACTTGGTCTGATGGAAATCACCATGTTACTAGTCCAATTATTGTACTGGGAGTGTAGCGCAATCTTGGCCTTAACTGCACTGTTTGTAGTAATAATATTCGGGACTTGATTGTTGCATTGCATGGCAAGCAAACTTTCTGATTGTATGCGAAACATTCTTCATACTAGTCAAGTTCATAAAATAAAGCCAAACAATGAGAAATTTACGAGAGAGAATCAATTATATTTGAATTAACATACGAAATTTGAATGTAGAATTTCTGTTTCTGAAGTGTAGTTAAGCGGCCAGTTATTATGTGTTTCTGAAGGGAAGTATGCTCATGAATCATGATCTCTCCTCTACCGCAAACTTATTGAACTCGAGAGCAAGTTTCAAATCTTGATCTCACTTCCGTTTGCGATATAATATTGATCTTCGATTATATTTCAGTCCACATATTTCTTATGTAACCATACAAATTTATTCAATTATATGAATTTGAACAAGGAAGATCTATGAAGATGACTTAAAAAATGAACGTACCTAAAAGAGTAGTTAGCGCCATATTAAGTTACCAATTAGTTAGCGCTTGAACACTCTTGTATATTAGACATGAGTTTTAGTTGAGAGAGAGACACCCTTGTTGATAAACATTGCAATGTTCACAATAATAATCTTTTTGAAAGTTGTGGTATATTATTGATGATCGAAAATGAACCAGTAGGATCATGAAATTACTGTGTGAAACGGGTCTATACAAGTGATTAGTGTCATATTAAGTTACTAACTGTTTAGTAGTTACTGCTTAAGCTCTTGTGTGTGTGGTAATGACTTAATTTTGAATATAAAGAATAATATCAGCATATCAGCTTATAACATATACACATGATCTTGATAGTTAATGGAAATCCATACAGCTGCAATTCAGATGGAATTGACCTTCTTCTTGGATTTAGTTGCCAAGTATAAACTGTACACAATCTGAATTGTATTCAACATTTGGATTTTGTTCATCCTGCGTGTAGAAAGAAAGAAATTTTCATGTCCATAAAAACTGTGGTCAAGGGATAAAATCGATTCCTATAGGAAACAAAATCTGGATGTTAGTGCAATCGAGACTTTCGTTGTGATTCATCAAACCATAAATTACTCGTCACTGGTTAGAATTGTCATCATCGAAACAAAAACAATGGCAAAGCATGGATCTCTCCTGTATGCTTTCTCCATTATTCTCGTGCTCGCTGTGAGCTTACTGTCTGAAGCCACTGATCAGGAAGATAGAAAGACATATATTGTCTACTTGGGATCACTTCCTAAGGATCGGTTGTTCTTGCCATTGTCTCACCACGTTGGTATTCTTGAAAGCATTACAGAGAGCAGCTCTCCATCGAATCTCTTGGTCAGAAGCTACAAAAGGAGTTTCAATGGATTTGCTGCCAAGCTCACTGACCGAGAAAGAGAAAGGCTTGCTAACATGGAGGGAGTCGTCTCTGTGTTTCTGAGCACAACTTACCAACTCCAAACAACACGTTCTTGGGAGTTCTTGGGTTTCAGTGAGAAGGTCAAACGAAACCCTACTGTCGAGAACAATGTTATTGTTGGTGTCATCGACAGTGGGATTTGGCCTGAATCAAATAGCTTTAGTGATGAAGGTTTTGGGCCAGCTCCCAAAAAGTGGAAAGGAGTTTGCAAAGGTGGCTTCAATTTCACTTGCAACAACAAGCTCATTGGAGCATGGTATTACATTGATTCCACCGCTAGAGATGAAGTAGGACATGGAACTCATACTGCCTCAACAGCAGCAGGGAATCCCGTAGAGCGTGTGAGCTTTTATGGACTAGCGCAAGGCACTGCAAGAGGAGGAGTTCCCTCAGTGAGGATTGCTGCATATAAAGTTTGCGGTTCAGAAGGGTGCAGTGTAGATGGGATCTTGGCTGCTTTTGATGACGCCATTGCCGATGGAGTTGACATCATTACAATTTCAACTGCAAGTGAAACTGCTCCCCCGTTCCATGAGGATCCTATAGCAATCGGTGCTTTTCATGCAATGGAGAAAAGGATACTTACCTCGAATTCTGCAGGCAATTATGGCCCTGCAGAGCGTTCTGTATCAAGTGTAGCACCATGGATTCTTTCAGTTGCAGCAAGTAGCACAGATCGTCGAATCATTGACAAGGTTGTTCTTGGAAATGGAAGGACACTTGTCGGTAGTTCAGTGAACACTTTGGAATTAAATGGAATGAGTTATCCGTTGATAGAAGGAAAGGATGCGTTAAGATCAAGTGGATGCGTGGACTGTGAAGACGGTTGCCTAGACCCTGATTTAGTTAAGGGAAAGATTGTGGTATGTCGCCAGGCAAATGGCAGCATCGAAGCTCATCATGCCGGTGCAATAGGTGCAATTACAAGCACTACCGGATCTGATGTATCATTCATTGTCCCACTACCTGCCACAAGTTTTAGTAGCAAAGATTATGATGTGGTGCATTCCTACCTCAACTCCACAGCTAAACCTCTAGGGAACATACTAAAAAGTGAAGTCATAAAAGACCTTGCTGCACCCACTGTCGCTTCCTTCTCTTCGCGGGGGCCTAATAATATTTTACCCGAAATTATCAAGCCAGACATAACTGCCCCGGGGGTTGAAATTTTGGCTGCATTTTCACCTGTTGCTTCTCTGACAGATAGCTCTGAAGACCTGAGGCATGTAATGTCTTGCCCGCACGTAGCTGGTGTTGCTGCGTATATCAAGACATTCCACCCCAACTGGTCTCCAGCTGCCATCAAATCGTCTATCATGACCACGGCTGGGCCTGTGAATAACACCAGCAATTCCACCGGTGAATTTTTGTATGGTTCTGGACATATCAATCCTCTAAAAGCTGTAGATCCGGGGCTTGTGTACGAAACTTCTAAGGATGATTATATTAAGTTGCTCTGCTCGATCTTGGATGAGGCGAGTGTTTGACTTATATCAGGCGATGACCACCCTTGCTCTGCAAAGACCGGGAAAAATTCTCCTAAGGATCTCAACTACCCTTCAATGGCTGGTACTGTTGCACCGGGGACTTCTTCGTTTTCGCTTAAGTTTCGTAGGACAGTTAAAAATGTTGGCCTTGCAAACTCGACATATAAGGCAAATATCATCTCGAAGTCTGGAGTTGACATCAAGGTGGTGCCTCAAGTTCTTTCCTTCAAGTCCTTGAACGAGGAGAAGACATTCGACGTGACAGTTTCCGGAAGAGGTATGCCATATGGATCACATGTATCTGCGTCGCTGGTGTGGACCGATGGTACTTACAGTGTTCGAAGTCCAGTTCTTGTATTCAGCCTCTAAGCTTCGTCACAAGTGATCGCTAATGTGGATTCACTGCTCCAAACAAATTATAGTTTCTGAATGTATTTCATACGTTTTCATCTATTTAAGTTGAAATAAACATGCCTTTGTTGTAGGCCTATTTTACTGATGAAAAAGAGGGGAAGAGGGCCGGCAGCAAGGAGAGGAAAAAATAGAGAGTTTAAGAATTATGTGGTATGATTTCTCACCCCTTTTGCCTTCATTTATGGTGACAAGGAAGAGAGGATCTTTGTGCCCTTATTTATGGTGACAAGGAAGAGAGGATTACACAATCACACAACTAATGGAATTGGAATTACAACACTCCCCCCTTGAATGTATAAATACTCAAATAGATGACACATCAGGTCTTCAATGATATGTAGAAATAATTAATTAACTAATAATAAAATTAAGCACAAATTATTGGCACGGTCCGCAACAACGGCGCCATTTTTTTGGTAGCAAGAATCTAATCTCTTTAGTCTTAACGAATTTGTATCTACAAAACAATTAACACATTTGATCAAAGAGCCACACACGCCCACGAGGTGAGGAGTTTGACCAATGGCTCTCCTAAGAATAACTCTAAAAAGAGTGAGTTTTTAGGGTTTGTATGCGTAGCAAAAGCTTACCAAAGTTTGGTAGAGATGAGATTTTATAGGGAGGTGGCCAGCCTAGGTGGAGGGTTTTGCCCTACACGTGGTGGTTTCCCATTATCCTAGGTTGTGTCGTCCATGGGATCGATAAGGAAACAATATTCTCAAGATATTAATTAGGAGATAATATCTTGGGATGATGATATAAGCATCCTTGATTGGTTGCAATGAGAATTTCTTACTTGTTTGAGTCGATCTTCAATTGAGAATGTATTAAAAATAGGAATCAGTGATTAATCCAATTAAGCACTGCACCTTGAAAACCTGTTTGTAATATGTAATTTGACTTTCCGAATTGCTGAGATTTCTCTACTCTAACTCGACGGTTGTTCGAAACGAAACTAATGTCTTGGCCCAGGTAGTAGTATGCTCGCCCTTGGCACACAAGTCTGTATCCCCCTCTACTAATTTATTGTCTTATCAAAGTATATATTAATGCCAACGTTCTTTTACCCTCTAGTTTCCTAGGAGCTAGAGGATTCAAATTTTACAAGTCTTTAAACTTTTAATGTTACTATCGGAAAATTAACAAGGAAATGTTAGAAAAAAAGGGTAGTTCTGTGCCTACAAGTAGGAATGTGTTTCGATTAGCATCAAAGTTTCATAAATTTTTTTTTTTTTTTTTGAAGAGTAATTTTTGACATCAATTTTCACGTTCTACACACGCCTCTTAATTATGGCCTCGATTCTCTGATATGTTTGTTCCAATGCCTTGAAAAAAGGGACGGTGTGCAGAAATCCTCTCCCTTTTTTCACTTGTTATCACATTTTTGACAAGGGTGGATGTTTTAAGGCTCTTGAATTCTGGGCACCAAAATTTCATGTAGAACCTTATATCTAAGAAAGTCCATCGGCGAGTACGAGAAGAAATGGAAAAATTGCACTACATTCACTTATGCTTCCATCCAAAGTTCTTAAGAGAAGATTACCAAATACGAAATACCAGAGCAATGTAAATGTTGATGGTTGAACTCCCAAATTTCCCAAACTGGACACTGTTTTAAGTTTCATACAGACAAAATGAAAAATAAAATCGAATCCCATCTGCATACCACGAAGTTAAAATCCTAAATTTTTTACCTACAGATCAAAAAGAAAAAAACTACAGTAATATACAACCGAGACTCGCTTGACAGAGCTATCGATATAATGACTTCTACGGTATAACACACACACAATCGATCATGGTGAGTTGCAAACCTCGGCATCATAAAGGTCACGTAAGTTTCATTTCCTTAATGCCGGCTATTGATTAAGAGGCACGCATTCAAGCTCAATCTCCAGTATACCCCTCTCAACATTCTGCAGCCTGAGAGAGATCTGCTGTCTTACTCTCCCGTCTACTAGGTTGATGACACCATCTTTTACGAGTGTGTTTTCTTTGCTGGCTACCCACTTTCCAAGCTGCATCGGCTCATTGATCGTGGATTTCTCATAAGCTATAGCAGCACTCACCAGAGGTTGAATATCAATCTCGGCCTCACCCATATAATCATCAGCTTGAACGTATCTTTGTCATACACCAGCTGAATGTAACGATAGAAACATTACTAGAAAATCTTATCCAATACTGAGATGCAAAGCACATAAACATCTTCATTGATAGCAAGGGAATGCTAGTATACGACTCTATAGATTATGCGTATATAACAATAATAAATCAAGTCAAAAACAAAAGCAGATAATCTTATCAGTTTCTTACGGCAGGCTATGACTTTTATAGGCTTTCTGTAACCGTGGAGGAAATTTCGTGCACTGGGGAATTCAATTTTACAACTGTCCCAAACTAAAGGGGAAAAAAAGTTTCTAAAATTTATTGAACGCTTCCTTTGACATTAGTGCTCAATATACAATTAATTTATGTACGAACATTTTAGGAGAAAATCATTTTTAGTTTATCAACTGCAACACCAGAAAATGTACCCTGTTTAAAAACTTCACAAATCGGGGCAACTAATGAACTACGTTATTAAAGTTGGCCACCTGATGATGCACAAAATTGAATCTGCATAACTTTGCTGATTAAAACACAAACAAAAATATAAAACAGCTCACCACGCAATGAAGGCGGCACATCTTTATCATTTATAGGTAAATAACCTACTGTCTTGCATTAAATAGCAATCTCAACACGATACACATGCAATTTGAATCTATAATGTAAAAAATAGTGCATGGGGCGGACTCGATGTCATAGTAATTTCATAGGAACCAAGTAAAACTTACCACTTTCAGAGGAGGTATGTGATCAGGAATTGACAACATCAGGCTCTCATTCCATACAGGATTAAGATTGTTCTTTATGACACGCGTCTTCACTGACTGCAACAAATATTTTGGGAAAACTGCATTTTAAGTTTATTGACAAGGTTGAATTCATGTCAAAACAATAGCTTAAGTAGAAGAAACTTACTTGGTGACCCAATGCAAGGATGACGTAAGGGTCACTTGTCATCATATCCCGTACAACTAGGTTGGTTCCTTTAACCACATTCACCTTGATTAATCCAACAAATTCGATCATACCTGCCTATAATGTACACTTGAAGCAATAAGATTATATGCATATCAACCAAAATTTCAAACTTATACAAAAAACTTTGATTCCTCCTTTGTGATTGTCATGGATTAAAACTATGGCACAACTATTTCTCATTCACATTTAAAAATAAAAATCCTTTTTTTCCAAATAAAGAAAATAGACATGGTACCATATAACCTCGCTCCAAAGGGAGCAAGGGCATCAAAACGACTGAGAAATAACAAAATAAAACAACACAGTAATCAAACAAAAAGGCCATTACCATTGGCATTGAGTAGCCCTTCTTTGCGGTCTTATGTTCAGAGTCTTTTCTTCCCCAGCTGTTACGAAATGCCTGCCCAATACGGTTTTTCGTTGGTTGTTTCTCATACTGTTTCTTATCTTGGGTAGAACTAAAAGTTGAATTGCTAGGAGGTGATCTCTTATTAGGTGGAAAAGGACATGACAACGGTTCATTGGGGTTCAAGAAGTCTAGCAGCTCATATTTTCTCCTGCATATTCAAGAAGTAAATCTCAGATTTAGAATGGTATATGCTTCAAAACAAAGTAATGAAAAGATTTTACTTGAATTACCTTATAAAATAAAAGCGCTCCTCTATAGAAGAATCTGGTTTTGGTTTACAGAAATTTTCTGGCAAGCAAGCCTCATACTTCTTGTTTACAGTAGTATTTCCTCCCATACTTGCCAAGATATCAACTTCATCGTCTGACCATTCATCTAGCTTCACTGATACAACCTATCATATTTCCAGATCAGATTAGAATCTCAAATTCCAATACTCTATAGTCAAAGTTTCGCATCATACAGTCTTTCTGGTAAATCCAGAACAAGGTACAATAATCCATACCTTCGAAATATGCACTCCAAGGCTTCTGTGTACACCAGAACACTTTATACAAATAAATACTCCAAAGCTTAAAGATCTGATATTGAACCAATCAGTACAGTCAAAATACAACGTAAGCAACCAAAACAGTCATAGCTTACATACATCTAGGAAGAGGAAGTCAAAGTGAAAAACTCAAAACATGAGGTTGTTTCGTTTACTAAATAGTAAATACCAATATCATCAAGAAAGTTGGGGTTCGACCATAAAACTAATTGACAATCTGGTGAGTTGACTTGTAAGCACATGCAAAGTCCCTTTCTTTCCCGATGTGCGATTCATACTCTCAACAGTATCATCCAACTCATAAGTTGGGAATATCTCAAACCTCAAATTATTGCGCAAAAGATATCAATATTACCAACAATTCTAAAATCAATCGTCAAATTCACAACTACTGATTAAGCATCATTGTGAAAACATGTGTCATTACTCATCACAAATTTTCCCTCAATCCACGTGCAGGACCCACTCTCAAACAGTGAACATGCATTAAATTTGCACCGTCTGCATTGGGATATATACTTAACTCAAAATAGAGCTCAAAAGGATGAAAAGAAGATTGTACAGATAATAACATAATTAATGGTGGACAGGAAAAGGACCATGTAAGATACTTTTTTATTGAATACCAGGTAAGACACTTGAGCACCTTCTATTAGTTCGAAGTAACTTCATAAAATGTTTTCTTCAGTTTTATTAAAACTGGAACAGGATAGATGGTAAAACATTCTCTTCATGCAAATATGATACTCACACCCATTTTGGATCTAGAGCTCCACAATCTGCACAGGACCTGTTGGCAGATTGGCGCAACAAAATCTCCAGCCTTTCTTGTGGACCTGTTCAATGAACAATAACGGTTACAAAAGATATGATGTGCTCTTATTACAATGTCACAGGGAGACCCATAATAAAGAAAGGAAAATCATCCCAAAAAAAAAAACAAAAAAAAACAAATCGGTACATCAGATAGTAGAGAGCTTGGTGATGCAGAACTTATTTTTCAGGATTTAATTCTACTGGTACATGATTTTTAGGTATTTATAACCACACGTTGGGTTCTCAAAGGCTGGACGTATCTCCCTCATTACCGCTAACACTTTTTACATTGTAAACCTTCTATTTGAGCTTCATATTCACACGGTCTTTTGTCTGATCTCCATGAAGGTAAACTAGAGGCATCAAATAACAGGATAGAAAATGGAGGTATTGGATTATCCCCGAGCTATCCATATACTATATCTGATCCACTGCAATTTTAAAAGTTTCTTGGAGCAATCATGTTGTATGTTAAAAGCCAATATCATAACTTTGCGTATCATCTACTCAAATGGCTTACTGCAACTTTGAGTGAATAGTGACACGCCACCAACAGTCAACTACGCTAACATGTCATGAAAATGAAAATCTTTGCAAGTCAGAGCACACACGCATTCTTAAACACAGCATTTGATGTAAAGGATAAAGAGTACCAGATAATGACCGTTGATCACTAGGGCATCTCCAAGCTGGTGCGTCTGAACATAAGAGATCATACAGGCAAGAACCTGATCCTACAAATGAAACATGTTCATTTACTGATGAAACCCAGTATAAATTCATCTGTGCAACACCGTGCAATCAATTCATCAAGTTTTGTACTCTTCAAAAGTATGTTTAACATCAAGAAGGTACAACATCACCAAATGTTGCCATTAAACAATTTTAAACCACGTAAAAGCATCAAAATTCTGAGGAATTAACGTAGATTTTCACTTGAAAGTTCCAATCTAAGATATGACCTGACCAAAACCATTTGTTTCATTTCAAAACACAAATTTATTACTTTTCTGTAGCAATTAATTATCCTGCCCTCACAAGGTAATATATCATATCTTTTCCAAACGATTTAAATTTTTATGAAGGTTATAAATGCAGCGGCAAGATAATTCTTCTCAACTATTAAAAACCATTCCTAAAATATAACTTATACCTGAAACTTTGTTGGGAACAGAATTATCTTGCTGGGTAGACATCTCCATCCTCCAATGATTCAGACCCAAATCATGAAAAAAAGTGCTACTTTCTGAGGATACCCATTTAATCAATCAGCAATTCCTCTGCATCCAATTCCACATTAATTAAATATATATACCCATTTAATGAAAAGGGGAAATCAAAACAGATATGAAACAAAGGATTTAAAAGGGTCCTTACAGATTGAAATATAGGCTATCAAAAGAAAAGGTGGAATGGGTTTTTATCTGAAACAAAAAGGGGTTCTTATTGGCAAATTGGTAGACCATACATACAGTTTTCAAAAACAATCCACCAAACAAAAATCTACCCAGATGGGTCCTCACAGATTGAGAGAAATTCTTGACATCAAACAGATTGAAGCTCAAAACTTTGGCTTATTTGGATTGAAAAACAAAGGGGGAAAGGGAAGAAATTGGTGGGTGGGCTAAGAAAGTGAATAATATTATCTTTTGTGATAGGATTTTGGAGAAAAGCCAAAGCAGAGATTGAGGGTAAGAGGATGGAAATGATGGGAACAATGTGCAAAGTGGGTTTTGCCAAAATATTGTCAATCCTTCTATTTTCTCTCTTTCTTTAATTTTGTATATAATAATTACATTTGAAAGATACAGTTTTTTGTTTTGTTTTTCTTGGTAAATCAGAACGGACCCTCTAAACTGAGTCTGGCATGGAAAACAAATAAAACAAATAAAACAGAGTTTGGCCAATCTTCTAAAAAAAAGAAATATAAAAAATGAGCATCCGGAATGAAGCATTTTGTGGTAGTTGGGGTTGTTTATCATGCATTCATGAGGCAAACATATATACACGTTTGGTCCTACCAAAAAGATCCAACGAAAAATAAATAAATAAATTGTCCTACCAAACCATCGCCGGCGGTCCAGTGATTAGAGATTAATTTCAAATTCGTATTATACACGATATATTTTGAGTTTGATTTCTGGTACGTGTGAATTACATGATAGTCTTCAGTAGAGGTTAAAACGCCTCTATGAATTACATAGTCCAACGGTTAGAGATGAATTTCAGACTCGTATTACACACGATACATTTTGAGTTCAATTTCTGGCACTTGTGAATTACATGATAGCCTTCAGTAAAAGCTAAAACACCTATGTGAATCCCCAAAAATGGTAAATTACAATGACGAAACCACTAGTTAACCTTTTTTTTACAAAAATAAATAGTCTTACCACATGGACACAAAAATTAAGTAAAACAACACGTTTATATCAGAGACCGAAAGATATGGTAACATTTTTCTTATTTTTGTAAAAACGAGATTGGGTAAAGGAGAAAATCGAACTCCGAACAAAAGAAACGAATGCCAGGATAAATGCTACTAATGCTATTAATAAGGAAATTAAGTTTGAAATTTAAAGTATACTACATGGTCACTCAAATGATGATGAATTTGAGCTTTTACTCAAAATTCTTCGTTGCTAGTTCATGAATTTTGTGTTTATGATTAAAACCGTTCATATTATAATTTATTATAAAACTAAAGCCTTTACAAAAAATCAATTAAAACTAAGGTCGGATGAAATGAATTTGTAAAAGCATTATGAACCGTCAATGTATTTGCTATAATAGATTGACTAAATGACCTTAATTTTATTTTGTATTTGCATTACATGTTTACTTATAGTTGGCTTTACTTTTGTGTAGTTTATCTTTATTTTTGTTTATGTTTGTATATTCAGAAAATTATTTCGTAATTTTTGCTCGCAGGATAAGATTGTAGGCGACGGAAATGCCGAACTACCGAACTAAGAGCTCTTATTCAATGCATATAAAAGATTACAACCTTGAGTTCCACTACTTGTCTCATCTACCAAAGGGATTTTTCAATGTGACCGGTACACAAGGCGATACATTACATGTCACTATACAAATAATGAGATATGTGTGTTAAAAAGTTAATAATTTAAAAAATAAAATTTCTCACCACTCCTATTAAAACACATGGTGTACCACTTGTGTTCCCGTCACAACTAAAAATTTCTCGTCTAAGAACAATGTTGACCTGGAAAAACTGAAGGGGAATTGAAGATGTTTGGAGACATCTTTTGACCCCAATGTTGAATAAGAGGAAAAGGGCAGAAATGTTGTACCGCTACTTCTGCCTGCCCCCAGGTTTCAACCGCATCCACCAGTGAAGAGTAGGAATAAAAGTCCACCCGTTACTTAGACCTTATGCGGCATTGCTTCCTTTAATGCACTTCCATCGGTGCCACTTAGTACTACAACCTAATAATATTCTTCTTCTCTTGTAAATAAGAAGTCGTAGGTTCGATTATCGTCTTGAACCACGTTATTGCTAGCCTATTATGAAGCTAAGTCCACCCTCACCCCTCCCCCCCTCCCCCCCTCCCCCCCTCCCTCTCCTCTTCTTTTTTTAGCATACATAATTCACTTGCTCAACAAAAAATTATGGACGAGCTGTACATTTTGTTGCGACTGCCAACAGCAATGAAACCGATTCTAATCTTAGAGCCGTGCAGAGTGCCGGATTCAATCATTCTGGTCAATTATCGCCCAGCCTTCGATGGACGTTAAACCTAAAACCTTCGGCAGATCCTAAATTGAATCACCCCTAATTGTATATGTGACACTAATTTTGCAGCGGTATGAAACCAATGTTACAGAACACACCAGACAGCGAAACCAAATCTGTAGAACACAAGGGCTTATGCATACTCACAGGCTCATAGCACACGTGTTGGGAAAATAATTGGGAGTTTTAACGAAATGTTCACAGTACTGTTCACTTTGACGAAAAACTACATTTTTACACTAAAAAATCAATCCTGATACTATTCACTTTACCCTTTATTTTGTCCTTATCATTAAAACTTAAAGTTTTCAAATCATTTTCATTAGTTTTCCTAAAATAATTTACGGAGATCAAACTGCAATATCTGGGAGAGAGATAACGCTGGAAACAATTTCAGACATGAGCGAAAATACGAGGACTTGGAAAAGCCGCAATCATGGCGGAATGAACAGTCAAGGCTCAGAAGAAGATTTCTTTTCCTCGGCACGCCTGCTTTCTAAGAAAATGATCCAAGGATCATTGACAAATGCAGTCATCGCATTTGAATTCTATTTAATAGATTCGCACCAAAAACTGCTCTTCAATCCCTTACAAACCCGCCTACACTTGAAGTACTATTCTACCACACTCCCACTAACGATCCATATTCAACTCATCAGCATTCCTAGGCATTAAATCATTACACAAGACACACACATTACGCTTGTATCCAAACAACGCGTCCCCAGAAACATTTTACATAACCACAACTCCAACAACAACAAAACCTTTTCACACTAAGTGGGCTCAGCTACATGAATCCTAGAATGTCATTGCGCTGCGTAACCACAACTCCAAGCACAGAAAATATATAACACAAAGAACGTCAAATTCAACGCATAACCCCATCGGCAGAAGATCATTTCCACGGTATTGGCTGATCAACATTAGCGACCATCAAATTTGTGCTCAAAACAAATGCAATCGTGTTTCATGCCTCAAAAGTCAAACCCTAAACACTACAAATATTGGAACACCGAAGGGTAGTCGAGGATCCTACGCCCGAAAAGCCTACTATACGAAAACATAACACATTTTCAATTGAGCCTACTAACTACAAAAACATAAGACATTTTCGATGGTGAATACCCGAAAAGCATTATATTTCATTACGATTAAAGTGAAAAATCGGCATATATAGAACAGGCAAGTAAAAAAACAATTTCAACAAATAAGAACCGAGCATTGGCTGAAGCATATATTAGGTGAAAACTGGAAAGTAATTCATCAAGCCAGGAAATCTCTAGGTTTCCATAAATTGTAGATTAAACAAAATCGAAGCTAAATAGTCTTAAACCACATATAACGATACCCGAAACGACAATTAAACACGAAAGAGCAAAGAGACCTAGGTGTTGGTAGCCCTGGTGTAGATCTGCTGGCTGGCATGGGCAGAGACCATCCTGATCGAGCCTCTAGCCATCAACTCCCTGATGGCCTTCCTGGCCAGGGAACCGTTGATCCTGAGACGGTCGGAGAGAATGGACGGTGTGATGAGCTTGTACTTGGGTGCCTCAGTGAGGAGCTTGTCGTAGGTGCCCTGGTCGAAGAGCACCATGTTGTTCACCTTCTCCTTCTGCTTTCCCTTGCTCCACTTCTTCTTCTTCTGCTTGCCTCCTCCGGACTTCGCCGGCTTCGACGACGGCGGCGGTGCCTTGTCCTTCTTCGGCGCCTGAAAAATCAAAAACGAAAGATTGTCAGAGACATTTACGCAAACAGATGGTTGGCTATCGGAAGATGATTGGGTACGTGCTTACCATGGGATTGGATTACAGCGACAGGGAAGGGAGGAGAGAGGAGGGATCGGATTACAGCGGCGGGGGAACGCGAGAGAGTGAATGAGGAAGCGATGTGAGTTGGGAGGTTTTATGACCTAGGGTTTCATTGGGTTATATGCCGACGACGTCGTTTGGGTGTTTTTGTTGTGGGCTAGTGAGTGACGGCCCACTTGTCAAAGTTCAACATATTTAGGACCAGATCTTTTTTCATTAGAAAAAAAATAATTGAAGAGAAATTAAAGAAAATAATTTATTATTGCTCGTTTGAAGACAAGTAATTAAAGTACGGATTCTCACTCAAGCTATTTTCTTAAAGGATTTTAGAATGGCATAGATTTCATAAAACTTGTTCACTAACCCCATGAACTAAACTTGTTAAGAGAATACGCAAAGCATTTGTATCTTAGTTTGTTAAAAGTTATCCATACATTCGAGCTCTCGAATTCGATTTTCTCTCTCTCAATAACGCTAAACATAGCATATTTATTTTTATCTTTTACTTTCACGTGTCTAATTTTATGTTCAGCTACTACTTGTCAATGTGATATGAGTAATCTGCTTTTCACTTTTTAACTGACTACTTTTCTTAGGCTTCCTAAGATTAAGCGGGCTAATAAAATTTAACCCTTAATACTCGAACTTTAAGTGGAAGAGAAAAAAAACCAATTATACTTGGCAAAACTAACCTAGAATAAATAAGAGAAGTTACAGCTAATTTACCATTTGAATTGAAGTTCGCAATAGTAATGGTAATTGGAGTTAGCCTGTTAAGTAAAGATATGAACAATTATATCCCCTTAAAACAATTTAACCATATTCGTGTGATAATAATAATAATAACAGTGTGCAACATGTACAACAATATTTACGTAATTAGGCAAAGTTGCGACTCTATTTTAAGAACACGTACTCTACTATTATATAATAGATAAATTAAGTTGTGCAACATGTACAACAATATTTACGTAATTAGGCAAAGTTGCGCCTCTATTTTAAGAACACGTACTCTACTATTATATAATAGATAAATTAAGTTGTGCAACTAATTTTTACGCAATATCTAGGCAAAGTTACACCTACATTTTATTTCAATGGGAGTAACCAGCATGATCTATTTATTTATTAGTTCGGCCCAAACACAACCCAGATTCACCTGGGCTAACTTTAATTGTGTCGAGCCATACCAGAAAAATAGAGCATGAACGACTTATTATAATACAAGGCTTTATGATAGGGATATTTCGCCATTGACACATAGGTCCACGCTTCATACGCAATGACCATATCACGAAATAATCGGCATTCTTGCCATGTTTGCGAGATCATCCCCGACGATGTCTTTGCCACAAACAACATGACCTTGAACCATGCCAACTCAAGGATGATGTCGAGTGGTGATATAGGATGTGACTCTCCCATGGTTACAAATGAAATTTGCGAATGAGATATGTGAATGACTAGCACTATATATAAGATGTATTTATATTAAGAATGACCAGGACGGCCTATTTATTAATTTGGTCGGTCCAGGCACAACTCAAACCCATGTGAGCAGACTTTAAATGAGCTGAGTTGGATTAGAAAATAAAGCACAATCAGCTCATTTAATACCAACCTTTATGATTGGCGTATTTCGCCATTGACATAGAGGTCCACACTTCAAGAGCAGTGGCCACATCGCGAAACAATCGACTTGTAACATATACTAATGAAGAAGAAGAACAAATGTTAGAATATTTTGAGTGACCACTACTAGTGCTAACAATACATTACATTGAGAGGAAAAAAGAAAGTTATGTAATTGTAATCCTCAGTTAAAAGCTTGTTCGTTTACACTCCTTTCAGTGTTTATGTTGTGATCCTCCTTTTGTTTACTCAATCATTCAAAGTACAACAAAAACGAGTGAAATAGAATAAAATGAATAAAACCGAATTGTGAAAGTCCCCACCCGAAAGGAATCACAACGATATTGTTGGTTTCATTTGATAACCTCTTTAATTTGTAGAATACCAAACATACAACTTATCCAACCTCTTGATCTGACACAGTGCCAAACATACAACAATATCAACAGTATCAAGCACAATCCACCGCATCTGATTATTTATAACGATACAAAGCAAACAGTTTCGCGGAGGTTTTAGATAAGATGCTCGTTTCTTTTTCCCTTTCTGCTCTAGTAGTTAAAATGCTAGGTTTTTCCGTACGTTAGAAGCAGAATTAAGGACCAACATCCTTTATCTGTAGTTAAAATGTTAGGTTTTTCCGTACACCAGAAGCAGAAATAAGGACCAACATCCTTTTATCTGTAGACCTCGACCTATTCCACGATTAACAAGTTATTTTCTGTTAATCCCTCACCAACTGTAGGAAATTCTGGTGATAGCTTCCATTCTCCATCAACCAAGAACTTGATTTCGTACCTTCAAAATAAAATTACGGGTCGGAGTGAAGAAAGGGAGGAAGAGGAGGAATAGTTGAGTGATCAGGTAGGTACCTTCCCGGTCTCAGCATTAATGTTGTCGAGAATGCAGTGAAAGAACCAGTGTACTCTGGAGATAAATCCTCTCCTTGACTCCATCCATCAAAAGTGCCCATAACTTGCACACTCTGTTATCAAGACAAAAACACTCTTGTCATCATTTTCTTTGCAATGAAGAAAGTGACCCGAATTATCGTATTCCAGAAATTCACTCATCATTACCACACCCCGTTAGTTGAGGAAAGGGAATTACCCAGTAAAAGGTTTATATTTACCTCAGCCATGCCGCACCAGAATAGGGAACCTCCTTGGATTGTGCCGCACCAACACCCTTTATCTGTTCCTTCAACTTTTCATGTATAGCTTCACACATGCAATAGTACTTTTGGTTAGAAGTTTACACGCATGGAAACAACGACATGACAGCGTTTTCAATGAAATCCAATATAAGTTGGGAAACAACAATTCTGAAGTTAAAACAGGGCACCCCACCCTAAATATCTTGCCAATGTTTATCCTACTTCCAAATACCAAAGTTCAGAAGAGAAGATGAGAACATAAGGAATAACCCATGTACCATACAGGATATAAAAAATAATCTCTTTCAACTTAAGAATCCCAACCATTTGTATGAAACCATATTGACTCCAAATGGCTAATGCCCAGGAGTTTTACTCAAGAGGTAATCACCACCACCATTACCAAGTAAAGCCTATTTCTTTTCGCCAAATGCCAAGAGTCAACCAACCTTCTTCCTTAGGTTTCCGCTCTGAATCCCAACTATTAAGTGGTCCTTTCTCCCTTTGTCACTCCTCACCCAAGTGGTCTTTGTTCCTACATTATGTTTCTTATTACTTTTCACTAAATGATTGTAACCTGTATATCACTTATTTAGATTGTTCAGATATAGATGGTCTGAAAATGAATTTAAATATCGATTACAAATATATTTTTGGGAAAAACAGAAAATCAGAGAGAACATCTCAAGGGACGTATTCATGCAATGGCTCAATTACATTGGTGGAGGAGATGCACCTTAGGAAACATCATGCTATTGAAAGAGAAAAAAATACGTACTCATCTTTGTGCGGAATCATTTGTTTCATGCTATATAATGCTTCTTAATAAATTTTCTCAGTTATCAGGAAAGGAATAAAGATTTAGCAGAAAAAGGAAAGAGAGTGAGTAAGAAGGAATAAATAAATCAATCTAGAGCAAGTTACCTTCTAAACGGGAAAGAAGGTGGGATTGAATGTATTTCCCATTAATCTTTCTTGAACCTTCAGGAATGACAGATTTGGTGTTTTCTTCTGCCAATTTCACCAAAGCCTGCCCATTAGAACAACTGAAGGAATCATGCCATCACAAGTCTTCGACTTTATTGAATCATGCGGACCGTAATGCATGATAAAAAAATGTTCAACAAGTGCTGATGGGTATGTTATTAACTTATTAGTAAAGCGGTTGTCGTAAAGGTTAAAGGTTTATGATATATAGATCCTATGTATTGATGTTTGCAATTCTTAAAGACTAATTTATTTTAGCAGAATTCAATCAAGATGGCTTTTGAAATCAAGCAAGTATAAACATCTAACTAAATGCATTTTGGCAGCGGATATGACTTCAAAACCAGGACTGGAACTACTTGCTCCTTCCAAATAGTGCTTGACCTACAGCCATATTTTGTATCAAAAAAAGGGATTTGTAGAATGTTAAAGAGGCCAAACATGAAAGAAAAAATGCCTATCTTGGGACTCAGATGACTCACATGTGATAAAAATACAGATCTCTAGGGACTTAAATAGTTAAATTAGTCACAAGTGTTAACATATGTTCATGCAAGATGTGCAGACAACCAGCACTTGTAAAATATGTTACCTGAATTTCAAGTTCCAAGACAGCAAGTTCACTTTTGAAGTTAACCAACGCATCCTCCTTTATATGCAACTGTATAAATGACAATCAATCTCAGATGTCAAATCTATGACACATGATAGAACAATCTAGACTGACAGACCAAAGAAGATGTATATGATGATTGATGATTAAACGAAATAACCTTATACACGTCCAAGATGTCTCCATTTAACAGCTCCATGAATTATAGTTATAACTTATAAGCACATTAATTTTCTCGAAGAGCTTAAGACGAGCTATTGGGTGAAGAAAATAATTGGAAACAAAAATTCATGCAATATATTTTGTGTCATTTTTCTCATAACCCAACTGATGAAAGTGGCGGAAGCATCATCACCTTTCAGTATATTCAATTCAACTACCATCAAATTTAAAATGAGATTATGCATAGGTGAACCTTTATGTATAAATTTGTTAATACTCATATGCTAATGCTAAACAAGTCAACAACTCAATTTTAACATTCACGCTTCATCTCTCAGTTATAATTTCTTTTCCTCCAGTATATGGTTTTTATTTTAAATGGAGTATTTACTGATAGCCATGGAGTGTCATTGAAAAGCACTGGACTCAACAAGTTTTTAATCTACTTTCCTGTTTTGTCAAAGAGTCTTTCACTCTTCAGTAGAATTAACGCATACTGCTGCTAGAATACATTCCTAAATACATATTATTAACCCCATCAAATCAATTAAGAAATCAACACAGATGGCAACAGCATAAAAGGTAGGCCACTCCCATAAAATGATGAAGAAGAATTTAAATGACATATTGAATCAGGTGTCAAGTTATTGAATCAGTTGTCAAGTTATAGAAAGGCCAATGCTATGGATACATACAAACCTGTCGTTTGAGAAACCGATTTTGTTGATTGGCTTCACTTAGTTTTTTGACGAGCTTTGTTCTTTCAGAATCAGCTAGCAGTGACTGCAACTGATAGAGTTTTAAGATAAGTTAGTTCTTGAGATCTAATATATTCCTGAAATATCAAACAAATTTATGCCCAAAGTGAAGTCCAAGATCTTAGTATTCCCCAACCTTCCCTCTAATAATATTCAAAAGTCCTTCTATTTCTTTCCAGCCTTAACAGTTAACACTACCATATACTTAGGAACAAACGGAATCAAGGTAACTATTGGAGTTGACACCTTTTCAATCATGTGTTGACATTAACAATCTAACAATTTTTCCTTTAGCAAAAAGCAAACGACGCTGCTATTTTCATTTACTTCTGAGCAACAGAAGGGTTGAAAGCATGAATCCTTAACCAACACTGGAAATAGTAGGAAAATCAAACTTTATCCAAAAATCAAAGAATCACAATTTTTAGTGTAAGAAACGCCTAAAAAAACAGATACCAAATTATATAGAACTTTAACAACTAAGTTAAGCTGCAAACACTTTATTTTCTTCACACCAATCCAAATTATCAGGATAGTTTGAACATCTGAAATTCAAAAGAAATATATATTTTATATATGTAAATTGAAAACAACAACAAAGCCTTTTCCCACTAAGTGGGGTCAGCTATATGAATTCTAGAACGCCATTGCGCTCGGTTCTGTGTCACTTCTCCCATTAGATCCAAGTACTCTAAGTCTTTTCTTAGAGTCTTCCAAAGTCTTCCTCCACCCCTTCAGCCCTGAACCTCTGTCCCGTAATTGCATCTTCTAACCAGAGCGTTAGTAGGCCTTCGTTTCACATGTCCAACCCACTATAACCAATTTTCTCTCATCTTTCCTTCAATTTCAACTACTCCTACTTTACCTCGGATATCCTCATTCCTAATCTTATCCTTTCACGTGTGCCCACACATCCAACGAAGCATTCTCATCTCCGCTACACCCATTTTATGTACGTGTTGATGCTTTACTGCCCAACATTCCGTGCCATAAAGCATTGCCAGCCTTATTGCCGTCCTATAAAATTTTCCCTTGAGCTTCAGTGGCATACGACGGTCACACAACACGTCGGATGCACTCTTCCACTTCATCCATCCAGCTCGTATTCTATGGTTGAGGTCTTCATCCAACTCTCCGTTCTTTTGCAAGATAGATCCTAGGTAGCAAAAGCGGTCGCTCTTTGGCACTTCCTGATCTCCAATCCTCACCCCTATGGAAATTGAAAAAGAAAAAACTAACTATATATGTCTATTATCTAGTACTAACAAGTGTGGGTTCATAACAATACAGATAAAGCCACCGGTAGCCAAGAATTCTAAAAAGATAGAAAAGGAAATTCATGCATTTAAATGCTATCAAGGATTTATAACACAAAAAAGATTGGACCAGTTCCAAGATCCATAGTGAGAGATTATATCCAATTCTAGATACTATCACGAACCTGTGCTATAAAAAGTTATGGATTTTGATCATGAAAAATATAACTATGGAATTTAAGGGTGGGAACATTTTCCTTTACTGCCCAATTTACCATGTTAAACTAATTAGTGGCATGAGTACCTCATTACTTCTTAAAAGCTGAGAAGGAAGTTCCTCCTGCAAATCTTTATTCGCACATTCATCATTTTCGCTAAAGGTTTCTGCATGTGCTGATGATGATTCATCCAAACTAGTGGGAATTGAATGTATTCTCCAGAAGAAATGGTTCAGGGGATGCTTCCCAGTAGAAACTTCAGAACCCGTCAAGATCAACCTCTGATAGCTCAACTTTAATTTCCCAGTAGTTACAATGTGTGGAAGTGGACGGATATTTCTCCATTCCAACTTTCTTGAATCTTTTCTTGACATCCACAGTACTTGGTTGTCAAGGCAACACCTGTCGAGATTACGATGAATGATAATAAGAAAATGAAATTCATAACTACTTAGCGACATCATCAATGCCATGAATATGAAAGACTACTGTGGAGATTAAGTTATCAATATCATCAATGCTAACTAAGTATATTGATAGTGCAAGAGCAAATCATGCAGAATTAATGTTTCCGATAAGCGTCAATGCAAATGATCTGTAGGTAAAAACAGTGCTTGTTTAGTGATTTTTCAACTACCACATGGAGGAACCAACTGAATTTATCTATAAAAGTGAAGAAAGCTTACCGTGCTGTGCCTATCTCCATGTTGATTGATTCCATCTGAAAAATCGTTACAACGAAAAAACACGATCATAATTTTTGCTAGAAACTTGAATAACTCAACAATTCTCTAAAATCAAAGTAACAATACTTCTCTGTCAAAGGAACCAATAACCAATGACTGTAATTCGTGTCCAATTGTTCTAACTTTAACAGCACAATCTAATCAAATTAAGCAGCACACTGTAGAAAAATGACAGTACTTGAACCAACACTCACTACCCACAACACAATTATGGCTCGTTTACTAATCTGTAATCTCGAAATGCGATAAATTCATATAAAATAGGTTTCTTTACATGAATTGGAGAAAACCCATCAATTGAATAATGGAATTGAGCTCAAATTTCAACTTTGGAAAATCTACACGTAAAAATGAAAAGAAATTGATAGGACTTACTGTACAAAGCTAGCGCGAAGAGTAGCAACTCCGGTTGAAACTAAGGCGGAGGTGGTGGCGAGGTAGCCGAGAGACGGTTGGAGGAGAAGGAGCTAAATTGAATAATTAATGGGGATTTGGATTGAAGAGACTTTCTGCGACCAATAAAATGAGGCCACACATATAATCACAACATCCTAATGACAAAAGAATAAAATTACTCAACTCCACCTATTTACCTGAAGAATTGTAGAGGGAGCGAGAAGGGTGGCAAACAGTGGTAAAAAGCGAGAATTGAGTGAATTGTGTGGTATAATTTCTTATCCTAGGAGGATTTATTAAGATTTACAAAATTACATTCTTAATTAAATTAAGACTGCAACATAAACCGTTATATTAGAGAACTGTCTTTGTTGTAGTTAATATTGTTTAGAGCAACTCCACCACATTACGATAATAATTGCCCAAGCAATCGAGCAATAGACAATTAGTGCCTCTGTGAATACTAATTGCTTAGTGCATCTTCACCTCGTAAATAAATTGTATAGACAATTGACATTTAAAAATTATGTTTACTAATAGATATATATTTTTAACCAATCTCGTCACACAATTTTTTATTGTTCAAAGTTGCAGTTTTTCTGAAACAGTATGATTGGGTATTTATAGGAAATATTGTTTTAAAAAAAATTCCATTTTTCTGTATTTTTAACATTATTTTCTAACCAAATTAATGTGGATAGTTGGATACAGATTTTTTTTTTTTTTTTTGTAATCGAACAGTTCAGATTGTGCCACGTGGTTGTAAATTTTTTTCTTTTTAAATAATTTTTTATCTCTACAAAGGACGGATTAATATGGACAGTGAAAAAGTTTTGGTCTCATACACTGAGAATTCATCGACGTCGTCGACGCCGACTCATAGGAACACCACCACCAACGCTCTGACTCCGAACAAACGGATAAAGACGAGCATGTTGGTGGCCGATCCGATCCCCGCCACCATCATTGCCGGTAGCAGTGAGAGGAAGACGAGCATGCTAGTCGCGAGGGTTACAAGATTTGCGCTGATTGGGAGTAGAAAGGATCCGAATTCGAAGTGAATTGATCCAGAGAGGATCCTTCCTTCAAAATTAGTGAATAAAGTAGTTAATTGGTTCGAGAAGGGTCAATTTGACGTTGCAAGTGCAAGTACGCAACCCCGCACCCCATCCATTAGGATGTTAGACCACAATAATCGGGGTATTATCGAATCACATTCTTCTTCCGTTAAATATGTGTCATTGTGTATCCACACAAAAACAAGTCTCATTTGCTGCATGCCATACACAAGTCTCATATGCAATTAAAGCATGAACAAGCAAAGAGAGTTTGCTTCCTACATTCCCTAAACTACATGGCCAGAAGAGACTCGTAACCACGAAAAGCGACTGACCTACTAACTAGATAAGATGATCGAACGAAAGAGTTCAAGATGACAGACTGCTGTCACTGTTCCTTCCATATCCTTCCGGTCACCCTAAGCTTCAATTCCTTTCGGTCTCCCCCTGAGAAGAAGAGAGCCATGTTGCGCTGAATAATGAGACCATCAAAACTGTCACGAACCTTGCGATGGCTATCCCTAATGCTACGTGGCACCCCCTGCCAAATCATCTTCCTCCCATTCCCACCTACTTCTAGACTGTAGCTGTAGTTCTTTGCCTCGTTATCATCAGCCATGAACCGCAAGAATGCTATGTAGACGGGAGCCATCCCGAGCTGGAAAGCTTCAAAATGTAGGCAAAAATACTGGTTGAAGCAACTAAAAACCTGCAGAATGGAAAAGATAGCAAATTTCTAGTTATGCTTCGTTTGTGTCAAAGACGGATTTTGGAAATGATAGCAAATTTCTCGTTATGCTTTGTGTTAAAAAGGCGACCAGCTGGTGGCATCGCCATGACAGTCCACCCTTCCAAAGGCCGGGAAGACTCATAGAGCATTTCAGAGACAGATTTTTCACTCTTTGTTTTATCGATCATCAAAGCTTTTAAGCTAAATGGTTTTGAGTTTGCTGAGGATTAAATTGTAAGGGGGTGAAGAAGGACAATGGAGAACAGGAAGAATAAGGCAAAAGTGAATAATACCGTTAACATCCAAGTGGCGTTTTCAACTTCTTGTGGATTTGATTTTACATAGCGATGGTTGAAAGTGCTGCCATTGTGCATGTCGACTTTGTGATCATCTTTTAAATGGGCCACAAGATGAGGAATATCTCCAACTACGGAGCATTCAGAACCAGCATAGGGGCAGTTATAGGGTCTATGGAGACACTGAGATTCATGCTTTAGCTTGCTGTAATAAGGGTATATGCCCATGCAACCAAAACTATGGTATTTACAAGGAAGTTCCAGAGAAGCAGCCACCTTCTCCAACGCAAGACATCTGATATTACCAAGCTCATGCCGGCAAGTGGGGCACCGGTTGTGAACCCTTGGTTTGCAACCAGAACATAATGTGTGACCATTTGAACACTGCAAAAGGCGAGAAAGCCAATTAGGTAACAAACAACAAGCATCTAATTTGGAACATCAAAATACTTGTTAGTATTTGGATAGTATATACGTTGAAAACACACAAATACAATTTGACGGAATGGATTTAGAAACAGTCAACTGGCAATAAATCGACAATTATTTCCAGAAGTAGTCGCTACTAATGCAAAGAACAAAGTTGGGTTTCTATTGAAAAGCTTCCCATCCCTCAAAAGAACAATTTTTCTGTTTTCTTAATAAATATTGTAAATAAATTTGATAAAAACCTATGTTACATGAATAAATAAATTCAAACTTTCCAAGGAAAAAGTTAAAGAACAGAGAAAAAAATTTACATCAAACGAGGGACTCCACAATAAAATTATGTAATTACGATATAGGTAGACCAAGATACATAATTCCTTTTTCATTTTAAACTAGGGCCTTCTAATATGTTATTGCTTAAAAATACTTACATCCACCAAAGACCAAATAGATTTGAAGGAAAAAAGCGAACTCAATAAAATCAAACAGCTCAAGAATATGCACTTGGTAAGGGTTAGTAAGGAGTGAAACAAATAGTGGCATAGCAGAAACCTGTCCACAAAGTTGCAAATGATAGCACCTCGTCTACCAGTTTCCGAAGAGAACCCCTCCCACAAATTCAAAACCTCACGCTTGACGCTACTTTAAACTAATGAATTATTAGCATCGGTCAGGGATAAGTGAAAAAGCATGCTAGTTTGAGCTACAATATCGTGAATGAGTGAGTAGAATTAATACTCGAATGAAAACGAAGGGAGTGGGTTTGACTTCATAAGATAAAGCAAAATTATTAAGTAATCAAACCTGATGGATTGGGGGGTACATAGCATTTAAGCACACAGGGCACTCCAGCAGATCGCGAACACTGCTAGAAACCGTCACATTCGGTTTTTGGGGCATTACAGTAGCATCAATTACACTTTCTCCAACATCCAGCATGTCCTCACTTTGAGGAGGATCAATAACCTCAGATTTGGTCCGGATGTCATCAAAAAATGGACTACTGGATGCCATGCTGGCACACACAGCTACTTATCTGAGCCGAACATATAAAAAAAAGTTCAAACAATAGGTGATGCAAAACAATAAGCATTGTACGATACACCATGTTTAATTCACGCACCAATTTCTAAATGATCCAATCTAGAGAAGGGCAAAGCTCTCTCACCAAATCTATTTCATCAAGGATAACCATAAGTAGAAAGAAGTACCAAGTGTGTCCTTAAAAGCAAAACTTTTTTCCCATTACACTTTCTGGTTTTCTTTTCAAGCTCACCCTTATAAGACCGAGGTGTGAATACCATAAAGATTTATAACCTTCATCCTTCGCTCAAGTGGCATGTGAAAGATGAGGGAGAAGTAAATGCCGGTTCCCTTATAACGATTAACACTATGTTTTTGGTGTTTACATTTCGCACGAGTGAACAGCGCTCGATTGGACTCCTACTATTCAAAACATGAATCAGAAAAATCGACAACAATTATGCATATCGTTCTTAGGATGCAAATGGAAGGAACCTACCTATCAAACTCTCAGTTCTCATATATCAGAGAATTGAGAGCCTCAAAATCCTGAATATATTCAGGTAATTCAACTACTTATGATCAAGCAGATCGAATTCAAATTTTCAAAACTTAAGCAAATACAGAAAGATGTATTCTTCAAGGAAATGTACATCGGCAGGATTCAAAATTCTAAAACTTTAAAATTTGCAAAATCATGAAATAATTCAACAAATTAACTGATCAATGCAGATCGAAACAAAAACAAAGCAAATGGGTTCGTCTAAATGGTACAATCGGACTCCAATATCGCATGCCCACATTGATATTCAACGTCAATTCCACAATAGATCTAGAAAATTCCAAAACATATTCAAAGAAAAATACGAACTTTTCCACCTTAAATTAAATAAATTTCAAATGGGTAACCATAAAATTAAAAACCCATTAGAGAAAACTGAAAAATAAATAAAACCCAATAAATTTGAGCTGGAAAAAGATGAAAATATTATACCTTTGAATTATAATCAAACGCCCAACGCAGAGAGAGAGAGAAAGAAGGAGAGAGCAGGTGGCCGGCTATGGGGAATTGTCCCCAGGCTGCAGTAATATAATAAGGGGGGACGCGGAAATGCGCGTTTGCGAGTTCAAGGAATTTCAAATTAAAGACGTTTGAGAGAGAAAAGAGAGAGTGGGGGACGGGGAGGAGCGTGGCGTTCAGTAGAGAGAGAGAGGAGAGAGAGATTTCTCGAGGAAATGAAAAAGGGAAAGGTCAACTGTCGAAGTCGAAACCGGAGGCGAGTGGGTCCCCGCTGACTGTTCTCATCTTATTTCCAAAGCATATAAAAGTTTTTCCGAAAAAAAAAAAGTTCTTTCAAATTGGGATTTAACTTCGCTTCTCAAAGAATCAGCAGCTCTTCCTGAGAGTCTATCACAGCATGACATGTGTCTAAGATGAAAGAGTCAGCAGCCCCTCCTGCAAACAGCCTATCACGACATGACACATGTTTAAGCAGGAGCTGCTTAGACACGTGTCATGCTGTGATAGGCTCTCAGTAGGAGGGGCTGCTGATTCTTTCAGCAGCTGAGTCTTGTTCTTCAAAATGGGTAAGAAATTTGTGCGAATGTTCTCATTTGTTTTTTGTTTGGTTTTCCTGGGACAAATGTTCATTTTGACGAAGGAGAAAAACTTCAATAAATTTGTTTGATTTTGAAAATTACGTTGTGACATGCTAGTTTGATTCCAATGAGACCCAAAAAAAAAAAAAAAAAAACACACATAAAATCTCATGCATGCTTTTGTAATTATCAAGGTGAGAATTTTATAAAATCCCCTTTATCAACATTTCATGATTCATTCTTTATTGACTTGACCTCAAACATAGAGATCATTTCAAAACACTCAAACTTAGTGATCATTCACTCATATATAACCCAAGGGTCTTTACATTATTGAGTGATAAATAAGGAAATTCCCTTTGTCAACCATCTACAAAAACTTATCAAAAGTACCTAGAGTAACTAAACAATTTTTTAATGATTGATTTTAGAATTAGAGACATAATGGTAATTTTATTCTATTTATTTTTTTATACAAAGATAATATTTTATTGAAAAGTGATCGGAATGTAATATTATTAAGCTCGTCATTCATGAAACTCGAATATAAGATCTCTCATTTAACACACATGTTTCATTTTTGAAAGGCTTTTTAGCCCAAATGGTGCATGTGATTGTATAACTACTTACTTTGGTCTCTAATATTTGAAATGATAGAAGTGGTCCTAAGTTTGTCCACCATCAATCATTTTGGTCATTCAGTGAAAAATCTTTGTTAAGTAAAGACCAAAAATACCCTTAATTTAATGAACTATGGGCCAAATTGATATGACAAGTTTGAGGATATTTTTGTTATTTTCTCCTTATTTAACAGAGATTTTTACTAATGGCTAAAATGATTGATGGTAGATAAATTTATAGCCACTTCTATTATTTTAAATCTTAAAAATCAAAATAAAGAGTTATTTCAATCTGAAAAATTATTATTTTTTTCTTTTGAAAAAGATAATAGCGTATATAGTATACTATTGAGGAATGGCGGAGTATTTCAGTTTCCTTTTTTTCAAACTCTGATGGTTGTCCCTGGAAATGCAATTTGAACTGCAAAGGGTTTCATGGCCACACAAACAAAAAGAAAAAGAAATGAACTTTTGAGGGCATGCCCGTCTGAACTGAATCCACTTGTCCTATACCACCTGGCAGTACGTGTTATATATAAAGAGGGTTATCAGTTTCCCATTCTCTAGATTGAATCATGTTGGGCAAGAAATATCACACTATATGAAGTTTAACCTCAAATCAGAGAATCAATCTCTGACTAATTACATAACCATATACATGAAAGAATGCAGCAGATGCACTGAAAAATACATAATATGACAGAAAAATCACAGTTTGACATGTGCGTATAAATTTTTTATTTTTATGAATTTAATAAGTTACATTTGCATTCGTGTTAGACTGTGATTTGCAGTTAACTATTGAAGAATGACTCTTTACATGTAAGGAGTCAGTGTTTATACGGTATATCGTACACACACAATATACAAAAAGTGCAGATTTGACTTGTAATGTATGTGACTTCCTAACTACCCAAACTGTTGGTCAATCTACAATCGAAATTAGGGACTTGGATCCTCTCCTGAGCCCAAGGAGAGGATCCTCCTAATCAAATGACTTGGGCCGTTGGATGAAAATCCAATGGCTATAAACAGGAGGATTATTTTAAAGTTATAATAATTATAGCAGTTGGATTTTCATCCAACGGCTCAAGTCTTTTGACCAGGAGGATCCTCTCCTTAAGCTCAGGGAGACGATCCAAATCCCGAAATTAGGTCATATATTTCACTTTTTCAGACTGCCAAAGCTCGTTTAAGTCCAGCTCTTTGCTCTGGGGTCAGTCTTGTAGGAAACCTGATCTCAAATATGATCTTCAAATCACCCCTATTGCCAGGCTCTTTAGCTATTGGCATACCCTCCCTGGCAACGACAAGCTCATAGCCCGGGTTCACAATGTTAGTAACCGGAATTGATAAATTGCGACCATCAAGTGTGGTGAGGTGCACCGTGGTTCCACCCAATGCCTCGGCCAGTGTCACCTTTTTGTTCACAATGAGGTCATTGCCATCTCTCTTGTAAGTGTTGTGTGGTTTCTCATCAATCACAAACACAAGGTCAGCTGGCAGGTGACCTAGCTGCTCATTTCCTTTATCTGGGAATGTTATCTTGGTTCCTTTCTTCCATCCTGGCTTCACATCAATCGTCAGTATTTCTTGCTCCGGCACTTGGCGTCTGCGATTTTCATTGTCCCCAGTGGAGGAAAAACGAAAAGCAAAGCAAGTCAGCTGATATTACGTAGAGATTTCTACAAAATAATATCATTGACACTCTAAAATAGTTGGTCATGCTGATATTTACGACCATTTTGAAGTGCTAATTACAATTCCGTTTAGTAATAACAACGATCATAATCGAAACTGTATCAGTTGGGAATAACACATTCAACTAACAAGCAATGAATCTACAAACAAAGAAAATATCGAGTGTAAAAAATGGTTACCCATTAGCATCAACCACACTCCTTGAGATCTTCATCTTCCTTGTTGATCCGGAATACAGCTCCTCAAGGCTGCAGGGCAATTTGCTCTCAACTGCTTGTGGTTTCTTTGGTGTGACACCTTCACTATATGACCGAAAAATATTTTCACCTCCACCAAATCCTCCGAACGTCCCCCCTCCATCGGATGAGAACCTCTTGGATTTTCCAGGTCCCGATGACCCAAATCCAAAAGGACTGCTTCCGAAGAATTCTGCGAAAATGTCCTCTGCGTTCCTAGGATTAAATCCATTGGATCCACCTCCATATGAGAATCCACCACTTCCAGGTGGTGGCATATCTTTTAAACCTTCTTCACCATCTTGATCATAAACTTGTCTTTTCTGAGGATCACTCAAGACCTGAATTCACAAACCCATTTCATTATTTTATTCACACTACTAGCTAGGGCGAAATGAAATCTTAACTGCTTGCATATATAGATGAAAGAGCAAAGACTGTTAGATACTATTAAAAAAGAACCACTGTTAAAGAAAATGATTTCCGCACTTTTTTTTTTTTTTGTCTCTCTACACACGCTTGTTCATGTTCAATTCGAAATCTAGAAATAAGTTGAAGTGTGTAGGATGAGAAAAAAACATGCGGAAATCACTAATATATAACTAAGCACAATTTAGGCTAATGCCCCCATTTGATTGTAAATATATGCAGATGTTGAAATGATCATCTTATGTTCTTTACACAAATTTATATTAATCATCGTTCATATTACAATCTTCTTTAGCATAAATACCCGTCACTATGTGCATAAAGAAGTTTGTGTGCATGAATCGACATTGTCAAAAATGTATTTGACATGTTACGGACACAATTTTGTTGGTGAATATGATACCGTAACCTTAAAATTACATATTGACAATAAAGAAAGGACATCTCTTTTCATAGAGGGAGGTAGAATAATCAAACAAATGAACGTGTAACATGCAGAAATACGAGAAAGGAAGGAAGGAGAATGAATAATTACATGCCTCATAAGCCTCAGAGATCTGCTTGAATCTGGTTTCTGCTTCATTTTTATCATTAGGGTTCTTGTCAGGGTGCCATTTCATGGCCAGCTTCCTATATGCCTTCTTTAAATCATCTTCTGTTGCGTTCTTGTTCACCTTCAATACGCTGTAATAATCCACCCCCATTCTCTCTCTCTCTCTCTCTCTCTCTCTCTCTAAAACAAAATTACATAAAGATTAATTGTGAGAGAGTCGATCTGCAGAGAGGAAAATGGTTAGGTGATTGGTCTTCTTCTTGAGAATTCAGAAAGAGAGAATATGAATGTTATCTCATGGTTCCTGAGGAACTTTTTCCCTTTTTTTAGGTTGTAATGACATATTAAGGATATATTTTGTTAAGACAATGTTTGATGGATGTCTTCCAATGTGCCTCACATACAATGATGGTTAACTCCTATTTACAAGGAAGGAGGATGTGGATCATTTTTTGTTCTTTGACCAAATTAAAAAAAAAAAAAAATCGTTTTGTTTATGTTTTATTCTACTTAACATGGCCTCGAATTGGTTGGAGTAAGCTATCTTGATAAACTGTTTTGTCCAAACTGTCTTTTTGCCAAAGATAGATTCGAGACTCAAGAGCCGTGTATATGAGTGTACCACTATTAGATGCTACCACCAAATAGTGTGAATGTGTGTTAGTGTATGTAGATTGTGCCTTTAGCCAACTTCTCGCAATTAAAAGCCAATTACTCTACCATTGAGTTAGCAACCCAAATAAAATACTTAAAATGTGCGAATACAATCGGAATCTTCAAATGTTGAGAATTTATATTCTTGTTCGTTATGAATAAAAATAAGTTTCGATCCTTCCATAAGTGTACAAATCTTGAAATAGAAAGTAAATGTCTGAAAGCTAACGCAAATGCTTGTAAAAAGGAGAAACGTACACTTAAAAGCATTGGGAAGCATTGGAGAAGACAAAAGCAAACTATCTCAAGCCAAAAATTTGCCATATCGAACTCGGGACATGAGTATCGGGCTAAACTTAGAAGTTGGATTTTTGGGGAAGAATGATCTGTCGGGAAGACACCAACCGGTAATCATACTACAACGTAGCTCGAAGGTGTTTTTTCGAAGAAGAGTGAAGGAACTTGACTGCAAAATCACTTACTAATTTGTTGAGAGAGTTGGAGGTCTTGAATAGGGAATGTTATACTAACCTGGCTGTGAGGTTACTGTAAAAAACAGTAAAATTTATGTTCATGTAATTATTAAATTGCTCATATTTTTTATTCGAGTTCAGTTTGATAAGGGGGTTAAACTGGTAATTTTCTAGTATTTTGGTTGACAATAAGAATTTTATTAATAGTTAGGTTAGATCAATACTTTTGCATACGGTAAAAAACATAGGGAGTCGCTAATAGGGAACAAATATTGAAGGGGTACTGGCATATATAAGCTCAGTTGTTTTGGGGTTTGGACAAATAGTGAGGGTTTTTGGTTATATCTTATATAAAAGTTCTCAATAACAGGTGTTAATGGGTTTCGCAAGTTGATTCAAAATGATCTGTTAATTAACCGGTTCACTTATTAACAACTCGATCTGGTAAGCAAATACTAATTTTAACGTATGAATCATGTCTTGTTAACGAGTTGGATTTGAAATGTCAGTTCTCATAGTAGCCCATCATCACTACCAAACAGGGCCGCCACAGTAGCCCAAACATGTTAGTCCCCACCACCCAATCCAAGTTTCCAAGACGTAACCCTCCCTTACTGGTCCCTCTACTCTCTCTCTCTCAGCTGCTGCCTTCTCTCTTCACTCTCTCCTCCATTTCCAATTCCGCAAATTCATCCTTCTCCGATTCCGCAACTTTGCCTTCTTCTCGGCGTCATCTTCTTCGGTCCCATCTCCTTGTTCTTCTACTCCTCTTAGCCTCTCACAGTCGCAGCACCACTCGCACACTCACACCAGGTACACCTCTTAAACCCCTCTCTGCATTTTTATCTTTCCTGACTGATAACTTAATTTGGGTATTATTAATAGTTTAATTTAGAGTTTGATTGAAGGTTTAACTCAGGTTTATAATTGGGGTTTTACTTATGTTTTGAATTAGTTGGGTTTGGTATTTTCAGCTCCCCAAGTTTTTCACTTTCGTTGTGGATTGTTGTTTTTGGAATTAATTAGCTTTGGGTTTTTCATTTTTCTCAAATTCCCACCTGATTTGGCTTCCATATAAAAACCAACAAATCACCTAAAAAAAGTAGCTCCCATTTGTATTAACTTCGGGTAATTTGTTGGTTTTGTTTGGTTGCCTGAGACGACGGAGAATAAGGGTTCTATTTGCTTGTTTCTTTTTAGTCTTTCTGATTTCCATAGAAATGAAATTGAGTGTGATGATTTGAAGTTTATATCTTTGACATTTTCAGGTTAAATTTGGTGATAGCCATGCCGGACGTGCACTCCCTTGTGAATGATTTCCTTATTAAGCTTAAAAAGCGGTAAGTTGTTCTTTGGCGCAAATTCATAGACTACACTGGCGCAAGCTGCTTGCGCAAGAAACTATACTGGTTAATAGGTATATTTCATGATTCAGAATTTGATTGCAAATTTTTGCGGTTGCAGTAAAATTGAGGGCTCGCAGGCTACTGCAAAACAGACGGCTGAATTGATTCGGTCGGTAATTTCAGCACAGCGGGTGCCCTACACAAATCAAGCCGGAGCATTGATTGATGCTGTGAAGGCTGTTGGGGAGCAGCTGATTGCTGCAAATCCTATTGGTAATGTTTTAAGGAGTAAATTTTTTTCTATAGTACAAAGGTCATTCATGTTACTTGAACATCTTCGTCTGTAATATCTTAAAAGACACAGGGCTGTACATTGAGATCTCATATGAAGAACTTGTTACTGTTTAAAAAAGTTGTGCTTTGTGCTAGTCATTTTGGAGGAAACATATAGCTTTCAAATTGTAGGTAAGATGAACTTCAAGTACTTTTGCAACCATGTTCTCCCCACCTGTCAAATTAGACTTTATCTTTGTTAGTGATATGAGTATCAGGTTTGAAATGCAGATTTAACAACAAACTGTATTCTTTAAGTAGCATAAATGCAGATATAATATCAAACTGTCTTCTTTGCGTAGCATAAATCTAGTGGGTGGTAGTGAGTATAACTTATGTTAGCTAAGTCTAATGATCAAATTTTCTAAAATTCACTGTGCATTCAAAATTTTATTTTGTTGCCATTTTTTTGTGTGTATACTCATGTGTTATGAAATGAGATGATATCTCCTTTTAACCAAAGAAAACGAATGATATATCTCCCAGGTATATAGAGGAAAGTACATGATGTATGCATTTGATTTTAGATATATTTATCTTAGGAGTTAGGATATACGGAAATTTTTTTTTCTTATAATATGGACGTAGAGGTTTATATATATTTTTTTCTTTTCATAATAATGTTTTGTGCATATGATCGCAGAGCTTGCTGTGGGTAATATTGTGAGGCGTGTTTTGCACATTATTAGGGAGGAGGATCTCTCTCTCACTACTGCTGCTATAGCTGGGTTGAACATGACAACTGTTAGTGATGATGAAGATGATGGAGACCATGACAACCATTCGACTCTATCTGCCGCTGTTGTTGCGGCTGCTGCAAGAAGCACACTGCGTCCACCATCTTTGCAAACACTGCTTGAGGACATTCCTGATGTAGCAGCTGTTCCTCATACTTCTTCATCTGGGGGTGATTCTGAAGAAAAAACCAAATGTATGATTTTCATTCTTAGCATCATTGAGAAACTTCTTTAGATGCACCTTTCATTTTCCCTTTAGAAATATAAATTAAAAAAAAAATAAATAAAAAAGCCTGTTTACAGGATATACACATTTGATATCTATTTCTGATCATAAATGTGGTATTTGTGTTTGAAAAGTAGTCAATGAAAAATTGGTTTCCCTAGCCGTCGGCCTGTGGTGGTGGAATTGAAGTTATTACCTTTTAAAGGCAGATTACACAGCCGTATGGCTTATAGATATTTGTTTTCTTTCACAGCTGCTGATAAAAGTTCAAGAAGTCGGAAGCTGAAGCATGATGTTATTGAAGCAGTCAATGAACTTATACAAGATATTGGCACTTGCCATGAACAGATAGCTGAGCAAGCAGTAGAGCACATTCACCATAAGTATGTATTTACCCCAAGCCTACGCTATTAAGTTTGTTTCACTGTTACAGTTCATTTTTTGCTTTCAAATATAAAAGCATCCTTCAGTCAATTTCACGTAAAATATGCATATTTAATATAATAATGATTTTGCGTGAGATTGCTTTGTGCTAATATTCTAACTTCTAACATGCTTATAGTATCTCATTCATGCATATAAGTTGGTTAAACTTTTTGGTGATTTAGTTTAGGGTCAGTATGGTTGAGGCTCTAAAATTAACTTCTCTGGTGTTCGACATAGCAGCGGTAGAAAACTTTTCAAGTTTAGCTACTAAGCATAAATTAGTTTGGATCCCAAATGTGCTTCCATCAGTCCTGATCTTTCAAGCACCCTTGTGACTGAGTCATTCACATTTTATTTCATTAGTTTGTGTTCATACTTTGTATGAGAAACGCAAAATTACTTTATTCCTTCAGTTGGTGTTTATATTATCAATTGCATTTAGTCTCTAGGATATAGGCCTAAATCTGAATTCCTGAACCCTTAGAAACCCCATAACCTTATGCACTCCAGTGGCACTCTTTGGTAATCACAAAATTTTGACTGTGGGGCAGTCACAAAAATATACTAACCATGAATAAACACTACCTACTGATTGGTAGACCAGCCGATTATCACCACAAATGAAAATCTGAGTCCGAGAAGTTCTTACGCTCCAAAAATTCCTGCCTCTCTTAGTCAGTACTTAGAATTTAGTACCATTTCAAAACTTTCTATTTCTCTTTTGGCAAAATTGAATCAAATATATATATATGTATGTATGTATGTATGTATGTATGTATGTATGTACGTACATACTTTTACATAGTTAAACAATTTGAAGTGAAAAGCTGAACTTAGAGACAGTAGCATAATAAAGTTTGGGGTTTTTTATTGGGATGGTATGAAAGATTTTTCCTCATGATCAATTTTCTCGTCATATGAAAAAATATAGTTATATTTCTCCAGAAAATAATTGGACAGGGCAAGATTGCAAATCTTGA